ATTAGTACCCTCGCACGGCGCTTCGCGCCGTCGGCTCGGGGATTATGCTGTTTATTAATCGATCTGTATTATTGAGGGGCAGAACATATAACAATGTCACAATTTCTTGAAACCTAAAAGCTTGATTTACTCCATGAAGAAAAAACAAAACTAAAATGATCTCAGCAGGTTGCAGTATTCAGTCAACAAACAATGTTTTATAACCAATACATTTTTTTGTGATTAGGCTGATAGATTTCACACAGATCCTATAATACTAGAGACCCTTTACAATTAAATTGTTTTTACACAATGCAATGCAATACAATGCATATTTTAGACATGCAACTGAAAGTAACTGTTTACAGCATCGTTCCATCTTCACTTTATACTGTCTCTATAGGATCTAAAAAGCATAGAAATGAGATACATTATTTTACAACTTTCAATTTCTTTCAAATTTATTAACTAATTTTAATCTGCTTCTTTGGATTAAAACACCATTGAGGTCTTCTCAGAAGAGTGATAATTAATCATGACTATGACTTTAATATGGAACATATTACACAAGCTAGGATGGGATGGTATGTATATTCTCACAAAGCATTGCATTTATTAAAGCGCCCACATTAACATAAATAAGGTCACTACAACGCACCTGCTATTTTTTCTACCATTTTGAATCATTTGTTCCTTTAACAAATCCCACAAGCGACACAATTTGTTTGCGTTGATAGAAACAGATATGAGGTGATATGAGTATTGATATTAAAATTCACCATTTCCAAAACAATAATGTTCATGACCAATTTCTTCATTCCTCATGTGTTAACTTATGGTATAATTCACCGATATCTATCAGAAATTCCCATTTGAAAACCCGGAATGCCGGAATATCACGGAATATGGGGGAATATTACGGAATATCACGACATTTTCCCGGCGTATATAGCGGGACATCACAATATTTACCGATGGTAGCCATGCGACTGTTATAAACATGGACGTCTGACAACATATTTTATTACAAAAGTGATGGATCTTTCCCATGTTGACGGTATAAGTAACAAACAATGACTCTATACTGGAAGTTTATATCGGTTGTTTATATCATTATTGCGAGTGTTCACCAAAAATTTTGAATCAATATGATTAATTCCTCTTGAGTTACAGTACCTTGAAGGCCTTAAAGACAAAAGTGCTGACGTCAGCATTATTTTCGAACTATGTCATACACAAAATTTAGTTAAAATTGACAATTTTATACCACCAAGCATTTATTCAACAATCCGATTCTAAAATAAAGGCAAGTTTGAGCCAGTTGTTTGTATCAGGTAAGAAGTCTCAAGGTAGATGTGAAATTGTCTAATATAATAATAGTCTTTTTGTGTGATACACAAATTAGTCTTAATGATTGCAGAGTTTTTTCTTGACACCCTATTACATCAGCTACTTGTCGTACCAGCGACAACTAACGACCAAATGGAAACTAGGTTTAACACAGTTCTGAAGGCGTTTGAAAATAATGCTGACGTCAGCACTTTTATTTTTCAAGACGCCCCAAAGTTTCACCCACCGTCTGCGACCCAGGCTATAAATCAGGAGGAATTAATCATATTGATTCAAAAGTTTTAGTGAACACTCGTAATAATGACATAAACAACATAGAAAACTTCCAGTATAGAGTTATTATTTGTTGCTTACTGTCAAAATCCATCACTTTTGTAATAAAATATGTTGTCAGACGTCCATGTTTATAAACAGTCGCATGGCTACCATTGTAAAATATTGTGATGTTCCGGTATATTCCGGGGAAATGTCGTGATATTCCGGCATATTCCGTGATATTCCGCCATATTCCGGGTTTTCACAACGCCCCACTTGAAAGGTGTTGTCACGACTGTATTCATGATTCATCTCAGTCGCATTCAGAAACGTCGTTAAAAATATAGACACGTTTCTTTACGATTGAGTTCATTTGAATAAAAAAAAGGTCCCCAACATTCTTGAACATGTGTTTTTGCTTAAAATACCGTATTTGACTTGATTTGTTCCTCTGTTGCGAGATAACAGAACAAAACAGTTGAAAATACCGATAGCTCACTCCTCAAGGTGGTCACAGTAAGATGGCGGCCGCGCGCAACTTCCGGCTTCAATTTCTGTATCTATAGTTGCGCTCTCCATGTATTATACAGCTCAGTGGTCGTCATACAGTCGACAGTCGTTATAATGCAAACTTTAAATTGGACCAATCAGTGTCCGCTATTCATGACAGTCCGCCATATTTTTGAGATCAGTGAGAATGACCACCCACCGAACCACCGAACCACTTACGGCAGGGCGAAGGGAGAGAGGGCGTAGAAACGGCCATACATCGAGCGGACCCATCCGTGATGCGGGCTTCGCGGGGGGTAAGACGTTCTAATTGTAAACAAATATGGCTACTCGTATATGACCCATCAGAAGGTATGCTGAAACTATTGCTTTATAAAATATTACTTGTGTAACATTTATATGTTTTTGTTACTTTCAGCTATTATAAGAAACTTAAAGATAAGATTTAAGTAAGAAAAAACTTTATTTCGGGTGTTATTTTATTTATATACTCTGTTTAATTTGGTGATTAAAAATGGCCGTCGAAATGTTGTCCGAGAGTGTTAGCGCGCACTGCTTCCTGATAAAAACCCAATGATTTCCAAAACCTAAATTATAATTTGTTATTAAGTTATGATGAAAACCTTTGCGTATACAAAATTATAGAGTGAGCAAACATGAGACAGATAGGTTTTGAACCTTTCAAAGTTCGAGGTCGAATTGACAGTTGAAATAGTACCAAACTCCAAGCTAAAATGTGCAACTAAATCGTGTATATTTTTGTCGCTGAGGACTGTGTTGTTAAAAAATACATTGCTCCAGCTATCATGAGTATAATCGATCCAAGTCAATATGGAGTAATACCAAGAAGTTCAACTACTCTCGCTGTTATATCTATGATCCATGAATGGTCGCAAGCTACTGATGGCACTGGCTCTGCTGTCAGAGTCATCCTGTTCGATTATAGAAAAGCATTCGACCTTATCGATCATGCTTTACTGGCTGATAAAATTTCCAATTTAGCTATTCCACGTGCGGTTGCTCGCTGGACAATCGATTTTTTGATGAATCGAAAGCAGAGAGTGAAATTATCCAATGACTGTTATTCGGAGTGGGGTGATGTACTCTCCGGTATCCCTCAAGGTACAAAATTAGGGCCCTGGCTATTTTGTTTAATGATAAACGATCTTGATATTTGTGATATATCGAGGTGGAAGTTTGTTGATGACACAACAGTTGCTGAAGTAGTTAGTAAGGACACAGAGAGTCGTGTTCAAGTCGCAGTTGATGTTGTGGAAGATTGGTCGAAGGCAAATGGGCAATCTCTTAACGCTGAGAAATGTAAAGAACTGAGAATCGATTTTAAAAAAATTAAACAACCTTTTGAACCTGTACTGGTGGGTGGAGAAGCATTGCCTATAGTTGAGAGTGCAAAAATATTGGGTCTTGTTATGACAGGCACACTTCAGTGGAAAGATAACATCAGAGAGAGTATAAAGAAAGCTAATAAACGCCTCTATTTTATAGTATTATTGAAACGGGCAGGCGTAAATGTCAAAGATGTTTTGAACTTTTATTGTACAGTGATCAGGCCTGTGCTCGAGTATTGTGCGCAAGCCTTCCATCATTCCATTCCAAAGTATTTGGCAGACAAACTTGAGACTGTCCAGAAACGTGTGCTAAAAATTTTATCTCCTGAAATGACATATTGTGAGGCCCTTGAGTATTATAGACTGCCTACTCTATTTCAAAGAAGAGAGGACATGTGTGACAAATTCTTTACGAGTATCATCAAGGATCCAATGCATAAACTTCATCATCTGCTGCCCCCGAAGAACGAGACTGATTATTCTTTCAGGACGAATCGGTATTTTAATATGTACGTTACACGCACGAACCGCTTTTATAACTCTTTTATCCCTGCTATGTGTAGGAAGTTTGTAGGATAGATTTTATGCTTATTTTAATCGAATTTTGATCGTGGGTGGGTTTTATAATATTGTATTAATAATATTTTATATGTAGTGCATGTGATAATATGTAATCCACGCAATTCAGCTTCTGGCTGCAATGTGGTTTCAATTTAATAATAATAATAATAATAATAATAGCGCTATCTGCCTTCGTACAACGGCCCTGTATGTTAATTTTGTCCAAACAGAGGAAACTGTCCGTTATAGGGAGGTAACCGTATTAGAGAGATATCCTAATCCGTATTAGAGAGGTATTCGCATTAGAACGATGTTCATGTTCAAGAGATATCCGTATTACAGGGGTGTCTGTAATAGACAGGTGTCCGTTTAAAGAGATATCCGCGTATTCGAGAGATGTCCTGTAGTATCGGAGAGATATCGCTATTAGAGAGATGTCCGTGTTAAGCAGGTGTCCATACTATTGGAGATATATCCGTATTCGAGGGATATACATATTACATAGACGTCTGCAGTATTACAGAGATGTCCGTAGTATTAAAGAGATGTCCGTAGTATTAACGAGATGTCCGTATTAGAGAGATGTTCGTATTAGAGAGATGTTCGTGTTAGAAACATGTTCGTATTAGAGAGATGCCCGTATCAAAAAGATGTTCGTGTTAGTGAAATGTTCGTATTAGAGACATGTCCGTATTAGAGAGATGCTGTATAAGAGAGATGTCCGTATTAAGCCGGTTTTCCACTCCGCCCGTATCGTAGCGAAACGTACTGGTGAGCATGCGCAGATTGAAAAGAGGTTTATAAATCCACGTACTTCCGGGTGTATTCGCGTATCAAAATAAAAACTTCGTCGCAAGTCAACTTTTTGGCGTACTACGGAAGTACTAACCAATCAACATTCACGAAATTTTGAAATTTAAAAACGTTTTTGATACGTTTCGGTACGGTACGCTTGAAGTGTAAAACCGGCTTTAGAAAGATGCCCGTATCAGAGAGATGTCCGTATTAGAGAGATATCCGTATTGGAGAGATGCCCGTATCAGAGAGATGTCTGTATTAGAGAGATATTCGTATTGGAGAGATGCCCGTATCAGAGAGATGTCTGTATTAGAGAGATATTCGTATTGGAGAGATGCCCGTATCAGAGAGATGTCCGTATTAGAGAGATATTCGTATTGGAGAGATGCCCGTATCAGAGAGATGTCTGTATTAGAGAGATATCCGTATTGGAGAGATGCCCGTATCAGAGAGATGTCTGTATTAGAGAGATATCCGTATTGGAGAGATGCCCGTATCAGAGAGATGTCTGTATTAGAGAGATATTCGTATTGGAGAGATGCCCGTATCAGAGAGATGTCTGTATTAGAGAGATATTCGTATTGGAGAGATGCCCGTATCAGAGAGATGTCTGTATTAGAGAGATATCCGTATTGGAGAGATGCCCGTATCAGAGAGATGTCTGTATTAGAGAGATATTCGTATTGGAGAGATGCCCGTATCAGAGAGATGTCTGTATTAGAGAGATATTCGTATTGGAGAGATGCCCGTATCAGAGAGATGTCTGTATTAGAGAGATATTCGTATTGGAGAGATGCCCGTATCAGAGAGATGTCTGTATTAGAGAGATATCCGTATTGGAGAGATGCCCGTATCAGAGAGATGTCTGTATTAGAGAGATATTCGTATTGGAGAGATGCCCGTATCAGAGAGATGTCTGTATTAGAGAGATATTCGTATTGGAGAGATGCCCGTATCAGAGAGATGTCTGTATTAGAGAGATATTCGTATTGGAGAGATGCCCGTATCAGAGAGATGTCTGTATTAGAGAGATATCCGTATTGGAGAGATGCCCGTATCAGAGAGATGTCTGTATTAGAGAGATATTCGTATTGGAGAGATGCCCGTATCAGAGAGATGTCTGTATTAGAGAGATATCCGTATTGGAGAGATGCCCGTATCAGAGAGATGTCTGTATTAGAGAGATATTCGTATTGGAGAGATGCCCGTATCAGAGAGATGTCTGTATTAGAGAGATATTCGTATTGGAGAGATGCCCGTATCAGAGAGATGTCTGTATTAGAGAGATATCCGTATTGGAGAGATGCCCGTATCAGAGAGATGTCTGTATTAGAGAGATATTCGTATTGGAGAGATGCCCGTATCAGAGAGATGTTCGTGTTAGAGAAATATCCGTATTGGAGAGATGCCCGTATCAGAGAGATGTTCGTGTTAGAGAAATGTTCGTATTAGAGACATGTCCGTATTAGAGCAACGTATGTATAAGAAAGATGTCCGTATTAGAAAGATGTCCGTATCAGAGAGATGTTCGTGTTAGAGAAATGTTCGTGTTAGAGAAATGTTCGTGTTAGAGAAATATTCGTATTAGAGACATGTCCGTATTAGAGCAACGTATGTATTAGAAAGATGTCCGTATTAGAAAGATGTCCGTATCAGAGAGATGTTCGTGTTAGAGAAATGTTCGTGTTAGAGAAATGTTCGTGTTAGAGAAATGTTCGTGTTAGAGAAATGTTCGTATTAGAGAGATGCCCATATGGATCAGAGCATAGTTAGATCAGAGAGATGTTCATGTTAGAGACATGTTCGTGTTAGAGAAAAGTTCGTATTGGAGAGGTGCCCTTATGGATCAGAGAGATGTTCGTGTTAGAGACATGTTCGTGTTAGAGAAATGTTCGTATTAGAGAGATGCCCTTATGGATCAGAGAGATATTCGTGTTAGAGACATGTTCGTGTTAGAGAAATGTTCGTATCAGAGAGATGTTCGTGTTAGAGACATGTTCGTGTTAGAGAGATGCCCATATGGATCAGAGAGATGCTTGTGTTAGAGACATGTTCGTGTTAGGGAAGTGTTCGTATTGGAGAGATGTTCGTATTAGAGAGATGTTCGTATTAGAGAGATGCCCATATGGATCAGAGAGATGTTTGTGTTAGAGACATGTTCGTGTTAGAGAAGTGTTCGTATTGGAGAAATGTTGGTATTAGAGAGATGCCCATATGGATCAGAGAGATGTTTGTGTTAGAGACATGTTCGTGTTAGAGAAGTGTTCGTATTGGAGAGATGTTCGTATCAGAGACATGTTCGTGTTAGAGAAATATTCGTGTTAGAGAAATGTTCGTGTTAGAGAAATGTTCGCATTAGAGACATGTTCGTATTGGAGAGAGTGGTCTGTATAAGAGAGATGTCCGTATTAGAAAGATGTCCTAATTCAAGGTTTGACGTTTAAATGTTTTCTAACAGCACATGAGTTATCAAGTTTAAATATTTCTCATCTTAGATATTACTGGTTGAAGTTACGAGCACTGGCAAAAGCTCATGAGTGGATCAAACTGGAAGAATTTTGTAAAAGTAAAAAACCTCCCATAGGTTATGAGGTAAACCGTAAATATTCTAATTAACATGCAACAACGGGTTATGTCATGAGTTCAGGGATGTAAGTATTTATCTTGTTTTTGTACCTAGCCCTTCTTCGAGGCGTGTTTTGAATTTGGCAACATGAAAGAAGCTGAAAAATATATCTCTCGTGTTCCTCTTGAAGAAAGAATGAATTGTTATATCAGAGTTGGGTAAGATATGAAGTTTTGTTTACCGCAGAAATTTTTCAGTTAAATAAACTTATGTGTCAAGTTGTTTCTTTATCTCCTCGCCGACCGAAGCGAGTACATACATGCCGTATTTAGTTTTCAAATTTTAAACTCGCTATCGTAGGATTATACCTGTAACTTACTTTACATAAATAAAGCACTTCCCTGGTTAAACGAGGACGATGGTCAGAATTAATGAGAGTTGCGACTCCCGCTTGCGTTTCACCAGCAACTGTCATTGACTCACATCAACTTTGAACAGTTCAAATTTTAATGAGATATGATGAGAGTTCATCCACTTTTATGCGACTCGTGTTCTCGTTTGAACTGGAAATGCTAGTTGATCAGTTGATGAAATTGTCATGCGAACTCTGGCTTGCTTACCTTCATCAACTCTCCTCCTTGTTTCACCAGGGCTTTACTCCATTATTTGATGGATATATTGTACCGGGTGTCCCAAAAAAAAGTACTCCGGTTTGATTCGTAATAACTTCTAAACAAGTAAAGCTTTTAAAGAGAAATAACTTGCATCAGATAGAGGAAGGACTAACTTAGATTTTGATATATTACAGTTGTATTTCACTTAAAAATTCACGGAGATATTAATGTTTAAAACCGGGAGCATATTTCTGGACGTGTCTGAAATATGCAAAAAACGGCGTATCAAATATTAATCAAGATTTGCCCGACTGAAACATGCACTATTACCAGTAAATAAATGACACTTGACAAATTGTTTATTATGAAACAAAGTATTATTATCTACAAAATACAAACAAGATTTATTCATCCGAAATCCGCATGTGTTCCTAGCACGAATATATACGTTTCCTTATTTCATGAGACCACTGCATCGCGAAGGATCGTCATGGATCGTTCGTAGTTCAGAATTAGGGCATGCTGTCACAATGGAATTGTGAAGCTCTTCTAACTTCTGCAACGTTCTGAAATCTTGTTAAGAACACCCATACTCTTTTGCCTTTTCTTAATCTTGGCAAGTTCAGAATAAACTGAGAATGAAACACAATCAAACCATACAACTCCATAAGACATAACAAGCAACTCCCCAGAGACATCCAACATTTTTGGAACAACTTGCATGGTCTTTCATGTATACCCTTTAAGTTTGTAAAGACCTATTAAATACTTGCATAATTTCAAGCGTTCATATTTCAGGAAACAATGAGCTAAGACTTACATGTAAGATGTCTAAATCTACGCCATATCCCTTACAAACCCTAACGACAATTCGCTGAAATACAAATTATCCTGATATGTCATTAAGCAAACAAACGCTGGAGTTAATATTTGATATGCCAATTTTCGCTAATTTTAGACACATCCCAAAATATGCTCCCGATTTTGAACATTAATATCTCCGTGAATTTTTAAGTAAAATACAACTGTAATATATCAAAATCTAAGTTAGCCCTTCCTCTATTTAATGCAAGTTATTTCTGTTTGATAGCTTTACTTGTTTAGAAGTTATTATAAATCAAACCGGAGTACTTTTTTTTGGGACACCCGGTAGATGGAAATTGTCAGAAAATTTATATTATTTAGACCTAAATTTATATTTATTACAATAATTTATATTTATTACAACTTTAGATCCCTGGCAGGTATTGAACCTGCGGCCCTGCGATTCTGGTGCAGCGCTCTAACCAACTGAGCTATAGAGGCCATGCAGTTGCGGTTAGAGCTCGACAACTGGCCTCTGTAGCTCCGTTGGTTAGAGCGCTGCACCGGAATCGTAGGGCAACAGGTTCAATACCTGGCAGGGATCTAAAGTACTGTTTAATAAACGAGCAGGAGTGTTTTATTTGGCTTAAAGTCACGAGCGCGCAGCGCGAGTGGCTTTAGACCTAATAAAACACGACCTGCGAGTTTATTAAACGGCTTCAAACACGACTACAAATTCAATAGATATACTGCTTTATTAGGCCCGTTTTATACGTCGAATTTTGGTCGCGTCGAATGCAATTAAGACAATAGATAATGAGATGATAAACCTTATTAAGCTTCATTATCTATTGTTTGAATTGCATTCGACGCGACTGAAATTTGACGTATAAAACAGCCCTTAGTATTCTTTATATAAAGAATACTAATGAGGACACGACTACAATAGATACTGCCTTATTAGTAATCTTTATATAAAGAATACTAATTAGGAGTGTTTTATTAGGTTTAAAGCCACTGCACGTGACATATTATGGTTGATATGATTTGCCAATAAGCTTATGAATTATTAATGAGTGTTTGAAGTTGCATTTTAGGCTTCTGTTCCTGGTTAGGTCTAATAAATGTATATAAATTTCCACTCGACAATTTCCATCTACAATACCCTTCAAATATTATTCATTCGAGTGAGATGCCAATAAAATCTTGATCTTTACTCCATTACTACTTCAGTATGTAAAGTTATAGTTTTTATGTTGCAGGAATATCGAGGAAGCGGCGAATGTTGCGTTTAGTCAGAAAAATGAAGAAGCTTTGAATAGTTTACTGGGACGTTGTGGAACAAATAGAACACTGACTTCTAAAATAGACTCTATGAAAGCTCAACTTTCACAAAGAAAATAGTGATTAAGTTGACTTGTGATTGTTAATATGAACTAATAATTTAAGATACACTAATTCACATTTATAGGAATAATGTAAGACATTTAAATCTAAGAATATGGAAAATATTTCACAAAATCTGACAGTGATTGAAGCAATGTCATCCCATGTGAGACAATTTTTTAGTAGTTTGAATGACAATAATTAAAATATAGAATTCAGAAAAAACGGTTTTAGTCAAGTTTCTAAAGAACATTGCTGCATAGTGCAAAAAATATCTTCGCGGCAAATGATCGTGTCATAAAACTTGCGCTGCATGTGGGCCACGTCACTGCCTAGAGCCGCACTTCAATCTTGGCCAAAATGGTGGGACGCATGCCTGCAATATACAGCCGCAGCAGACTAATAATAGCGGCATGCTCTAGCTCCCTGAAGTGGTCTCGCGAGGCATAAACACGCAGGTCTTGGCCCCCAGGGCCCAGACACGGGGGTCAGATTTGGCCCCCCAAGAAGACGATAGGCAGTTTATCTGAAGATAGAGTTCCAGTTATATTCATTTCACTGTGTTTGCACTTAGTTAAAAACTACGGTACCCAACTCAGCTGAAAATTAGCCCCCCCCCCCCGAGTAAAACCTGTCTCACCGCCACTGAACCGTTGACATGAATATAACTGGAACACTACCTTCAGATAAACTGCCTATCCTTTTCTTGAAGCCAAATATGATCTCGACACACGCGTGTCTAGAGGTCAAGACCCGCGTGTTTATCGGTATGGTTGACATCCTCGTTCCCAGGGCTTCTCGGCTGCCTGCGTTGCCGTAAGCCCTGGGACAAGCCAAACCGGAACACCACAAATTCTGGTGTTTTCCGGAAGTAAACGCGTTCTGCTACAAGCTAAAAATGCTGACTATGCACTAATTTTTACTGAGGAGTGGAGACGTGTTGGTGAGCAGAAAATATTGGATTTTTCTTTTGTTTCGATGTATTTTCCACCATCAAGGGAATATGTGCAGATCACCTAATGGAATTATACATATTGGGGTTTTATATTTCGTTTATCGTTAATATTCGTCAAAATACAACCATATTTCGGTTTCGTATTACATATGTATCAATTTTCATGTATGATGTAAACATGATCGAGTCGAGATGTGCTCGAAGTGGTTGCTGTGATTCGAAACATCATGGATTCATGGGTTCTTGTACAGATGACCTGTTTCAACACGCGCTTGTGAAGTCTCTTCAAAGACTGGACAAAGCCGGACTGGAAATTAAAGAGAAGTAATTCGAAGCTTTATCGTCCATGGTATGTTGTATATTAAAAGGAACAAGAACGACATGTGACATGTCTAAACGGCGGTGTGTGTCTGTTTACTGGGTTACAACAACGGCAATAACAATGAATCACCTAACATTTCAAGAAAATATAAATTATAGATAGATGTCATGTATGACGCCATGAGTTTTGGATTTGAATTGCTAGATTTAAATCTGTATTATGTATACAAAATCATGCGTGCGTAAATTTGAGCAAAAAAGCACAAGGTGTTTGTTTGGCCATATGCCTATCATGTAGTATGAATATTGAACACCATTTTACTGTATATAGCACGTTTAAAACGTTATTTCCATGCTGGATAATCCTGAATCCTTCACCGATTAGATGCCGTGGCAAATGAAGAAAAATAATTATGTAAAATAATTAACCTAATATGTCTTTGGCCATGAATGCAACTCACTATGCTTCTTGATACATCTGACAGTCAAAACTATGTGCATGACTGTATGGCTCAATGTATGTTAATTGTTTCAGGGAAATTTTTGTGTTCAGATTAAAGTATAACAATATTTTCTGCATTCCAATATATTTTCTACATGCAAGTGCACATTCTGTTTCAGATAGGGGCCAAATGGGATAGCCAATGATTGGAGGGTAGTGTTAGCAAATTTGACTCCCTTACATAATGTCAAGTTATCACTGGTCAATTTTTAAATTTCTTACAATTTCACATCAGGGAGTTAATTGCCGCCCCCCTCCCCCCCCCCCATTATCCAGACGTGTGACTGAGCGTTTTCTAGTATCTATCCAGGTGTCCGATCTAAATCTCCACCACAACAGGATGCATACCCGAGTGATGGTAAGGGAGGTGGGGTTAAAATTCTGATCTATCAATATATTACTAACTACACATTTCCACATTAAAAATATGAAAAGTTTTCCAGTTCAATATATCTATAGCAGGAGACTTAAACCAGAATTTCAGAATACAAAGCAACTTTTATGTCATTTTTGTAATGGTTTGGTTAAAATCAATTTTTATACAGACATGGTAGGGTGTCTCCTGGCTAGAAGCCTGCATATACATATACAAATTTTCAGTTTTGTCAATAATAATAGTTTATTTTATAATTTCAATTCTTACAAGATTTGCAATAAGTCAACAGAATAAGTATTCTATTCTGAACTGTTGACAGGAAACAGTGTAAATTCATGATCTCTTCCAATATGACACAAGAATTCGAGACCCCCACGTCGGGCATACCAGGGGCATTCACTTAATTTGGTGTGTGAAATTCAGTGAAGTCCCCTGCAGCCAGGACAAAATGGCAAGGTAAATTTCTTCGGTCCTATCATCCCCAGGTATTCAATTGGAAT